GGGGCTGAGGCGCTCACTCTGGAGGGATATGCGTCACCGGCACCCTCCTCGTGCCCCACAGCGTGGGGACACCCTGACTTGGGCGTCAGATGATTCTGTGACATGCATGGGAGAGGTTTTGTGATTGACACTTTTGCAGAACTACGCTCTTCCAGGAGAAGTGAGTCAGGCCCCCACTACTTTCTTGTCCGTCTCCATCTCCCCTGCTCGGGTTTCACGGAATGTTGTAAAACGCCCTCCTTCCCCTGCTGAATTTAGAACTGACTGAGGAATAAGTCATTTCGTGTTCAGGCAAATGGGCATTGAACGCCAGCTTTATAACAGAATGAAACGGCCTTGAGCTGCAGCTACCCACGTGGCTCCCTGCCCAGTGCTCGGGGGAGAGCCTTCTCTGGGCGCAGGCTCCCAGGACCCCCCGGGACCCCCCTCAGGGGGCAGTGCTGACCCCTTTCCTGAGCACAAGGCAGCAGGCAAGCTAGAAGACACTCTCTGCAGGCGTGAAGTGAGTTAAACCACAGACCTTTGCCTATCGTCATCCCCCTGCGCCCTGGGCCGGGGGGAGAAGCGGGTGGCAAGGGAGACGGATGCCCCCAGACCTTCCCCTGACCATCGCCCTCCTCCTCACTATAGTCCTTTATCCATTCATTCATTCCCTGGGATGTTTCTCCTACTGAAAAGGACTTTTGTTACATTTGTGCCCAAGTCCTACCCTTTTTGCTCTATGATTCGAAATAATGAAAGAAATATCAATCAGAAAGCATAAAGCTTAGAAAATATCAGACTGTGAAAGATTGACCAAGTGTCGTGATGATAACAGTAAGAATGGTGTAAGGTCTCCTTGAACTAGCAACATTTCTGTTTGGATTACAAAAGAAAACGTAACGTACTGCGTACAAGAGATGTTCTGGAAACAACATGCAAAAAATGAAAGTGAATGATGATAAAAAGTTGAGAGAGTTTAATCAAATCTGTACAATACTAACTCAGTTACAATCTCAAATATCCTCTCAGGGGGAAGGAACCCTCTTTCTTCTGCACATGTGCTGTAGTTTCAGGTTCCTGTAACAGTACCCAGCGCATTCCGCTTCATGTTAGAATGCTCCTTGCACCCTGCTTCATCTATCTTACTAGATTTCAAGCTTCTTGAGAGTAGAGTCATGTGAACGCCATATGACCCTAGGACACTGAATTTCTTTATCACCCAGTCCCTTGGTGATAAAGGTTCAGATAAAATGCTTTGGGAACATGCGGAAGTGTAGGCGCGCGTTAGGTGAGGTACGGCCATGTACGCATCCATGGGGTGTATACATTCGGTTGCTGTGTTTAAGTGAGTCTGAATGTGTATGTAAGTGTATGCATATATTTGCTAGTATGTGTGTGAATGTGCATATGTGTGTATGTAATTAGGGAAGTTAAGTAAATGTTTACATGTAAATAACGTATATTTGAGCACGCACTTAGGAGGGAATGGCCATTTGGCGTTCAGGTGTGTATTCCCGAATGTGAATGTGTGCTTGACTGTTTGTGTCTGTGGATGAGTGTGTGATCAGGAATTAGGGGTCCAAGGGTGGAGTGTGTGTGAACAAGGGGGCTTTGGGGGCAGGCTGCCGCAGCTCAGTGTTCCATGGTGAGACCCTTTGTCTCTGCCCTCACTGGGGGTCTCTACCACAAAGGTGCACATTTTTCCCACAGGTGAGCGAGGAGCCAAAGGTGACCCAGGGGCACCTGGAGTTGGCCTCCGAGGCGAGATGGGCCCCCCCGGAGTCCCAGGTAGGATTGGAGCCTGGAGCCCCAGGGTAGGGGTGGGTGTCCCCCACGGGGTGAGGAGTGCAGAGCAGCTCTCTGGCCTGCACCCCCACAGGCCTCAGGAATGCTGGGAGAGAGGGCTGGGTTTGACTGACAGGTCTGTTCTTATTAAATCCTTCTAAAATACAAGCTTCTTGACTTGCTGCAAAACCTGTAATATATCCCATGAGTCCCTGAGGCGTGCCCCTAGAGTTAAAAATCCTCTGAAATGGTCCTGAAGAAAACTGATTTGGGGTTAAATAGCTTGAGCAGTGCTGGAACCACATGTTCTTTCAGTCCTTCCCAATGCACATTAATTTCTGCATGCTGCTTTGATCGAAAAAATATTTATTTTAAAGGTAGCATTTTCCAAGCTCACTTGAATGTGGAATCCTTTCTCTTTTAGTGTGCACTTGTGAAACTCCATTACTATTTCTCAGAATATGTTTTGGGGATTTCTGGTCAAGTGGCAGGGTGCCAGCATACTTGGCTTGTCTGGGGCAGAGGGGGTTCCTGGGAATGGGATTCTAATTTTAAAACCTGGACAAGTGGCTACGTGGGACAATCTCGAGAGCGCAGCAGAATGAGGAGTAGAAGCAGAAAGTGGAAATTAGACTGGATTGTTATCAAACTCCAACTCAGTGAGGTCTCTGCTTTTATTGAATTCCAGTTTATTTGATCACCTGAAGCCATTTCTTAATATTAGGTCTCTGGGTAATATTAATTTTAGTACTTTTATCTTCCTGATTTTCCAGACTTCCTGCAGTGAATATGTACTACTGTTCTCATTAGAGAAGACAACTAGAAATACACTGTAAACATTTATTTTTAATAGTTTGCCTACTTTTCTATAGTGTATAATACTAAGGATTTTTAAAGTAAGGCAACTCCAAATAAAGATTAAAAGGCAGAAAGAAACCATGTAAAAGGGGGAAATAATTGTACAACATGAAGGTGAGATAATGACTGTTTTTCAGTGGTTCCCACCTGAAGGAATGAATAACATTCCTGGTCTCAAAGCTTGGTCTGGACAGGACTACAAATTAAATAACTGCTAACAAAGTGTTTATGAATTTTAAAATTTATGATATGTCTAAAGATCATTTTAAGGGGAAGATCTACTTTCTGTTTCTTTTATAAGGATTCTTAGATTTTCTAAAATAGTGATTATTAAGGCTTAAGAAGAAATATCATTACTAGGGTTAACTTAACACTGAGCTTCCCAGTTGCCAAAGCAAAAAGGGAGATTGTTTGATTATATAAGAAATTATGATGCTTAATAAATGGAGATGTAAAAATTCATCTATAAGTAATATTTTCTGGTTCTAAATTTTGGTCTATCTAGCTGTCAGTTACTCATGTCCTATTTGCATTTTCTTTGACCATGATGTGCAGAACAGAGTAATGTAGTCCAAGTATGCTGTTCAACTTTAACATGCAGATAAAGCTTAGAAACTACAGAATAGTTGGGACAAGGTGGATATTGGGTAATGGAGTGTCATCAGGTATCTTGAAGGGCACACGAATTGGAACTGTTGGTTAACGATGAGGGCTTGATGCCTCACTTCCAATCCAGATGCATCTCCTAGAACCACCCAAGGACAGAAGCCCTGGTTTCCCATCTGCCTCTTAGTGGAGAACACGTTCCCCACCCGGCCTCCATCTGCCCTTGTTTATTTCTCTCCAGTGGCACCCTAGCCAAACACCGGAGGCAACTCCTTCTGTACATGCAGGGTTTCCTGCCGCCCGGTGTCCGCATGGACCGTCCCGATCACCCAGGACAGAGCTCCCAGGCCATGGAGCATTTCCTGAGGACGTTTTGAGTCCTTGTTCATACTGCGTGGAAGCAGGGTGAGCAGGGCTTATTTGTTGCAGAAGGATCCTGAACTGCCTTCTGTTTCCTTTTCTCCTTGGGCCAGGTCAACCCGGGGAGCCTGGCTATGCTAAGGATGGGCTCCCTGGGAGTCCCGGCCCTCGAGGGGAGACAGGATCAGCTGGACACCCTGGCCCCCCAGGACCCCCGGGCACCCCTGGCCAGTGTGACCCCTCCCAGTGTGCCTACTTCGCCAGCCTCGCTGCCCGACCTGGGAATGTGAAGGGCCCCTAGGGGGTTCCGGAATGCCCAGAGACAGCGACAGATTCCCGGAACTTGAACTCAGAGCCTGGTGGGAAGCCAGAGGTCTTAAAATATCTCAGCCATGTGGGCTTTTTCTTTCTTTCTTTTATCCTTTGTTTTTGTCTTATTTTCTTAAGTGACCTCAACATTATTAAAACCAACAGATGCTGCTGGTTGGTCAGATTATTATTAATATTATTATTAATTATTTTTATTATTCTTTCATATGATAATGCTGTGTGTGTTTTCTCCCCCCTCTAAGGGTGGGAAACCTTGACTGTGGGGTGGCAGGTTGTTCCTGCATTCTTCAGCCCCCATCCGAAGTGTAGCCACGTATCTTAAGGAAACTCTTGGTGCTATGAAACACTGACTGGGCACTTGCGAAATTTGCCGCTGTCCTCAAAGGACACCAAGGAAATGAGGCACGGGGATTCCACTCTTGGCCATGCGCATACATCACCCAGGGAGAAATTATCCAAAAGTTGCCACTTCCCAGGAGAGACAAGCAAAGTGGGAAGAGAAAGAATTCGAAGCCATGAAGAACCTTCTCGGCCCCTGATGGGAAGTGCACACAGGGAGCCCAGAATCGTCCCGAGGGAGCTCAGTGCTCCAGGCTCCTAGCGGGGAGGCGGTGGCGCTGTGCTTGGCGAGGCCTCCTGGGGTCCTGTGTCTGGGCCACAGATCCGGAGGCTGGCGTGGAGAAAACAGCCCCTGCGTGTTAATTGGCTCCTAAGCCACAGACAGGACTCCTTCAAGCTTCTCACTGTTGGTTTCAATCACTTTAATTGTAAAATCAGGGGGTCCAGCAACCGCGCCTGTGTTTCCCTGGTAGTGGGCAATTGGCCAAAGCGCTGGCCAGAGCTGGGAAGTCTGTGCTTCCATCTGCCTCTGAAATGAACCGCACTGAGTGTATGTGTGTATGCGACACGCCCGGCATGAGCAGGTGCTCAATAAATCCGAGTTTCCTTGTCCTCGCTTCTGTGTGACGAGTCCTCTCTTACCTCCAGGGCCTCCCTGCACGCGATGCCCTCAGACTGGGAGGATCGTACTCTGGGGGATGAGCACAGAGCCGCACGTCAGCCCGCGGGCGGCAGGCACGGCAGCGGGAGCGAGCCATCTCGGGGCAGGTCATCATCATGCCCACCGTGGGGCGGCTCCAGGTCTCGCGTGAGGGGGGGCCACTTGGACGTGCAGGTCCACGCGGGCTCACGGGGGAGAGGGAGTGAGGCAGGTACACGGTTGTTTTCAGAGGACTCAGGCAGGGCCCGGGGGCCGAGCTGGGCAGAAAGGCAGATCCGGCACCTCACACTCAGAGGTGATCTTCGTTCTGAGACTGGGGTCTAATTTTTAGGGTTTAAGTGTCTTATAGGGGCAGAGAGAGAGCATGGCAGGGGGGTGACACTAATCCACATTTGTTTCTTTACATCCTTAGCTGCCAAAATAAGTATTAGGCTCTAGTATCTTCATAAAGTCCCAAGATTTAAAAAAAAAAGAACCCCAAGTTCAACATTCCCACATCTGGGAACCCCTGATTGGTCTAAATTCTGATTTTTTTTTTAAACAAATGCAGTAAAATGAGGCTCAGGAAGTGTGATTTCCAATAGAGAAATGCTTCCTTTCAAACCAAATAGTTGCTTTCCATGTTTGCCAAGCAGTAGTGTGTTCACTACGTCCCTGCAGCACTCCTGTGAGGGGCCAGGTGGGCTCTCGGCCCCCCCCCCCCCCGTCAGTCGGTGCGAAGCCGCGTCTGGGGGGGTGCGCCCATCTGCCTCAGGTCACACACATGGCCCGCCTCTCCAGCCCCTGGAAACCGTGCTGGGGCACCCGGGAGCCCGACCCTGCAGTGTGGTCCGGGTCGCCTGTGCCTGCGTCCACTGTTATGTCCCCTCACTCACCGTGCTCCCCTGGCTGCCTGCGGAGCGCCGACTCAGAACGAGCGCGTTCAAAAACCCTCCTGTGGGGAAAGGAGATGCCACTCGTTAAACTACTAAAGGGAGGGCGTGCATTCTGGCTCGTGTGGGAGGGCTGTTGGGGGCTGTTCCAGAGCAATCATTTTGTTTCTCTGCCTTTTTCTTTTCTTTCCAGGTGGGAACATCTATCTCCAGTTTCCCTTTATGGGGCTATTTTGTAAAGTCAGGGTAACTGGTGTGCTGTGTGTGGCTGTAGATTAGCTATTAAACCCCTTTAAAGCCGTGGAACTGGCTGGGAGGGTCATTTGGGAAGGGACAGAACATGTCTCTGTCTTAGATTTTGAGACCTGAAAAGGTGCATTGCACAGAGCAACGCCAGACACAGACCATTTCTGGGCCACTTTCTGGTCACTACCACCAACCCGAGTTGTGCGTTGTCTTCACCTCCTAACCCGGAGGCCCTGGAGACAGGGAAGGAAACAAGGATGCGCCCCTGCTCTGAGAGGCCTTGCAGACACCTCATCCCAACAACGTGACCTTTGGCTGCATGATTAGCCGAGATCCTCTGGGTGCGGCAGGACCGCTGTTGCCATGGAGACCTCGGTGCTGCGGTGGTTTGGCCCAGCCTCCCCTCCCGGCCTCCCTGATGATGCCCCCTGTAGTCAGGGAGGAACGGTGCCTCAGGGCAGGCCCCATCGCCCAACAGTCTGAGCGGGTGGGAGCACACGGGGACGGGGCCCAGTCGCGGCTGGGGGCCCAGTGTCCATTCCCTGGTGGACGCTCACGTGTGTAAGTTCAGCAGACGTGGAGCTGGGCCTGCAAGGGGAAGAGGATACAGGCCCCCTTAGGTAGGAGACAGACACACATGGAACAGAGCCCTACAGTTTAGTCTCCTGAGTGCTGTGAAAGAGAAAGTCTATAGTGTCATGGAAGACGTCAGTCAAAAATAATTCACCTGCCAGGTTTTGTGCCCACCGTGTGCCTGAAGACTTGCATGCTTTGTCTCACGACATTGTGGGGGGCAGGAATCTGTGAGCTTGTCTTTGTATGTAAGAATACAGTGATCAGAGAGGTGAAGTGACTCTCCCCAGGTCACACAGCAGTGAGCAGTTAAGACCTGATAAAAATATGGGCTCTATGGTGCCCAGCTTCTCCTCCCACCCTGGGTGAGGTGTGGGGTGGGCCTGGGGTGTGCTGGAGACCACGCTTCCCTTTCACGCAGTCACCTAGCAAATCTCTTCTGTGAGAAGCCGCGCTAGGGACCCTCCAGCTCTGTGCTACAGTCACATTTTCAGGGAACGAGTTGTCCAATTTTTCCGCAAAATGTGGAGGACCCCCTGGTCAGCATGGGTCCACCTGGGGAACGCAGGTGGCTCACGATGGAGTCAGGACGCACAGCTCCCCTGGAGCCCCTGCCTTTCCAGCTGCAGCGAGGGGTTCTGAGGGCCCCTCTGGAGGCACCGAGCCCCGCGGTGGTGCCCCAGACACCGTGACATGTGAGGAGCTGGTGCTGTGTCATCCAGGGCAGAGAATGCCGGGGCCCCACAGCTGGTCCCTCAAGGAGAGAAGACAGAGGGTGACAGCTGTGACCGCGGTGCCTGGGAAGCATCTCAGAGCCGCCAGGGACCATGAGCCCCACCCTGAGGACCCGCACCCCACCTGAAAGGCTGAGGGGGCAGCAAGGGAAACGGTGCCAGCCTTCAGGGGTCACAGTTTGGGGTTTGTTCCTGGGAGGACAATGAGAACAGGACGCAGGTATCAAACAGGTTACCAAGAGCAACACTGGGCAGAATGAGGCCCTCGGACTGTGACTGTGTCATATGAACCTTCCAAGTCAGGGTTGGACAGGGAAGGGTGTGGACAGGACAGAGATGACTTCTGTGACTCACCTACATGGCGAATGGTGGCCTAGACGCTGGGCAGAAGCCACACAGGCTCAGTTTGTGTGCTGTCTCCTCACTCCGGGTGCGGGGAGCACCAGGGCCCACCCAATGGGCTCATCTTAGTGTGTTGGGGCTGCTGGAGTAGAAGACCACAGACGGGGGTAGAATTCCTCCCTCGCTGCTCTGGAAGCCCGAGATAAGGGCCCTGCGAAGCCGAGTGGGGGCTCCCTTCCTGGGGCGACACTGCTCACTGTGTCCCCGCACAGCGCAGGGAGCGAGGGAGCCCAGTGGGGTCTCTTCATAAGAGCACAAACCCAAGATGGGTCCCCACCCTCATGACCTGAGCACCTCCCAAAGGCCCCACCTCCTCACCCATCACATTAGGGCTCTACCGTGTGAATCTGTAGGGAGCAGGACCCAAACATTCCGTCTACGGCAGGATTCAAGGGCAGGGGCTTCTGGAATGAAATCAGGAGTCGCGGCCTGAGGACTCTCCTAAAGGTGGGGAGGACGGGGTCCAGCCCATGCCAAGCTCCCGGGGTAGGAGGGCTCCGGCTAGCTCCTGTCCCCGCTGACAGGTGAGGCAGGCTGGCCTCACCCCGGGACCTGCGTGGGGCTGAGCCTCGTGGTGTTTTCACTGACTTGGTAGCCTGGGGCAATGGGAGACCGAGGGTGACCGCCAGGACCCATGGAGGGAAGCCAGAGCAGAGGGCTGACTGGGCCGGCCTGCTGAGACCCCTGTGTAGCTGTGGGCTCCTGAGAGGGCATGGAGACATGGAAATGAATCTCCCAGTCCAAACATGTCTGTGCTGCCAGGTGTTCAGACACCGTTGCGTGGTTGATGCACCTGATGTTCAGAACGAGGAAGGGCCTCGCCAGCAGCAGCCTCAGCCCGCAGATCGTTATGATCAAGGTGCTTCACGTGTCACCACATCCAAGAATCACCTTGACCCTTTTCCTTAACTTAGCGCCCTGAGTTTTACCTTACTTTTAGCTGGCTGCCTCGTACGTAGTGACAGCAAAGATCTCACAGCTGACTGTGTTAGTACATCTTTCTGTCTCACACTACAGTGGAGAACAACCCCTGCAGCTGAAAGCAGGCCCGGCCTCGTCCCCCAGCGGGCTCCGGACTCCCTCCGCGAACACCGTGGGGAAGAGGGTGCACAGGGAGCCAGCCGCACCGGCCTCCTGCCGAGGGCCAGCGGCCAGGGGGAGCTGTGTGCCTTTTCTGTGCCTGTCAATGGGGATGGGTGATCACGGCCCCCTAGGGTTTTGCTGAGGCTTGAGATACATAATATGAATGATAAAATTTTAAGTCAAGACAAGATCAATAATAAAGTCCTGTCCATTATAGGTGCTGAGGCAGAAGGAAGAACTGGAGCCTAAACTTTGCTATTTCACTCATGAATTGGTTTTTTGCATTGATTCTGATGTTTCTTAAATGTTGAGTTAAAATTTTCTATCCCAATTATTGAGTATTGTGTTGCCTTTAAATTCTGTCCCCCTAGGCCCTGCCCTGTTGGAGTGTGCTAGTCAAGTGCCAGGACCAGGCCATTTGGGCAAGAAAACGACGCTGCCACAGGCCTGGGCCGCATCAGTTCTCAGATGTCACCAGACAAAGCCAGGGGCGCCCAGCCTGCAGACCAGGTGACCTGCCGAGAAGCCAGAGGAGTCAGGCTGTGGGCTCTGCACATGCAGAAAATAGTAGGGCCCCGGGTTTGGGCCTACTTACTTCTGCTTTTAAGAAAGTTTATTCTAGTGGAGACAGAGAGATAATGCAATGCTTAAAGGCACACACAAGTACCCAACACAAAGACCCTGACAAGGACTGTAATTCATTTGTATAATTTCCTTATACAAACATCCTCTGGGGCTGAGGGACAGAGACAGGATTTCCTCCCCATCCGCGGCTGGGCACAGCTCTGTTCCCTCCGACGCCCAGTGCCCCTCTAGCCCTCCGAGCTCTGTCTTGCAGCAGTTCCCAGATCCTTGTCCTGAATGTTCTGAGCATGCCCACGCCCGGACTGGGCAGCTACAAGGTCGTGGCGCATGCCCAGCCCCTCCTTCTAAGCCCTTCCACGCCTGCGGCCATCTGGCCTTCCCTGGATGGCATGGCAGGTATTCACAGTCTGGGCTTGCGGCCTTTCTGGCCCCAAGCTCTGAGGATTGCTGCCTTCACAATA